ATTTCGACCATTTTTATACCAAATAAAATAGTCTAAAAGGAGAACGTTTGCAAAACTACCATGTCATATCACTCATATGTTTGGCTGAGCAAAATCATTAATGCGAAGCTTCTGTTGCTGAAGTTTTTTGTGCAATTCATCACATATCTCCGAATTGTATTGCTCGCTGCGTTGGCAAAATGATACGATATTATAATGACGTGGTTCGTTATATATTGAGAAAAAATGTGTAATTTCTGCAAAATATCGCAGAGCAACTCTACACTAGAGCTTAGTTTTCACTGCATGGCAGTTAGCAACGACTTCCGTTACACTCACGTGCAGTGAGTCAGCACTCAGCTCGCCCCATGCTGTACCGACGCTCCTCATTTAACGGTCGTCTGCGACAAGGATCAACATTTTGTACACGATCACTGGTCCATAATATATTTGAGCTTAGGTATATCTTAGGTTTCTTATTAACGAGAAGTTCATAAACAGTGGATGAAATTGAGCGATAGTTTTTAGAAATTCAGTATAGAATACATGTAGAATATGCAGAAATACACATGATATATGAATGTCTGCATCAATGAGAAGGAACATTTTGTGCTATAAACTTGACTTGCATGCAAAGCTTTGTCACTGTGAAACGTTTGTGGCTTTAGTTAACGCTAGCTCTGCGACAGGTCTTTTAATATCTAACAAGAACAAATTACTTTTTTAATGGAAATATGTATCTGAAAAATGTAAATGCATGAACTCTCAATAAATTCTAATATATTAACATATGATCCAAATGTAATAAAAATATATAAGAAGTTAGGGCAAGGGTAAGAATGTACTATAAAACGTATCAAAATATTGTAGGCAATATAGACGCGGTCTACGAAAAACTGACTAAGTGTGAATTTATTAGCCACGACAAGAATTACTCGGCCATACTAACAGTAGGATTAGCAATGTAATTACAGGAGTGCATGAAAAATAAACTAGTCGAAGATAAACTACAAAAGAGATTCGAGAAAATCGTCACAGTAACAATATTGACCAGGTTGTTTGGATGGCCAACGGTGACGAACTTTAAGCTTTGTCTCATTATGCCAGGTCCTAAACTGGAAACCGTTTCCGTCATCCTAGATGTTAGTTGCTGTAAAATAGGAGCTGCCAGCTCAAAACCAATGCAGAGCACGTATTCCTACAACCGTCGTATACTGTAGTTGGGACATTGTAATTTGATGTTGGATTAACTAGGATGCACACATTTTCTTTTATCTGGCCGCAACAAAATCGTGTGAAATGAAACGAAAATAAGATCCTTCTTTTGCTAGTGCTTAACAATCACGCAGCTCAAGTTTATAAAGCTCTAAAAAACGCTCAATTTGGTATTTCAACAAACGATGAGAACATTAAATTACAGCAAGATAAATGCATTTATGCAAGAATTTTTCGTAATTTATTTTCATAGTGATTTCAGAATATATTAAGGTATGAATTGATATTACAGTACGAGTATTCTAAAGTAAACTAAAATATTAGCGCCATTTTTTCAACTGTTCAACTACCTGCATTGCATTTCTGTTTTGCATCATTCTCCATAGAACTATTTTGCCTCCTTAGCTTTCATCTCTTAAAAAAATTCTCCTAGAACATTAATCACTTACTCCTCCGTTCCACTATCGTAAGAAATACTTTGCGATATCGCACCCACTGACACTGACAACATATCATAAAAATCCGAGAGAAATATAAATCATTTGTAATTTTTCAAAATGGGGAATACAAATTTCTCCAAGCGCAGCACAATTTAAAAAAAATATATTTAAAAAAATTACAATAAACATTTTCAGTTTCAGTGTATTTTCAGAAATTTGATGCAATTAAAGCACAAACTCTGAGCAAGTTTTCATTCAGTGGCAATAACAATTGAAAAAGTACCTGGAATGCGTCATGATTCTGAATAACAGCCCAGAGCCCGTGAGGAGTGTAGTACACATTATATTGCTCCGCAAACTTGTTGAATACAAATATAGAAAATGAAAATATATCAATAATAGGCAGAATTTTTGAGAAACAAGAAAGAAAACCGCACGTTGCGGGCCTCCAAACAATTGCTGAATTTCCAGGAAAATTAGGGCTAATAATCGCGGTCAGTGTGCCGCGGCCCGCCAGTAACCGGTTATTCAGGTGCTACGAATTTCTACGTCGTTCACAGGACTGCCATTCTTGCTGCAGGGCCTAACTTGGTCACTGCAGGTCAATTTCGTTAAGTGTACGCGCGAAATCATTATTATGAGAGGATAACGTACAGTACTAGTGCAATAGGTTTTCATTCGAATTGCATTTTAAATTCTTTCAGTATAGCATTCTTGTTTTATACTGTCTTATTCTGTATTCGACAGATACAAATAAAGGTGTTTTTATATGTACGCTACTTTCCCTAATATTGGTGACAATCATCCCGATTTCAACGTTGTTTCTTTACCTGGCATTTCTTCCTAAAGTTTTATGTATTTTTCAGCCCGTTTGTCTTTTAGGGTGTCAATGAATCAAGCCATGTAGTTCCGTGAACCTCATGTTACTTTAATGCATATATTCAATAATTACTTGCAAACTGGCTTTATTGGTACAAAATACATACAATGATTGAATAGGTAAGCGTAAACTGGTTTCATTTCCACTGGTTTCATTTTATTATCAATGTTTGACATATTTATTGACATTTTATTATATGTTTTGGGTGTTTAATTTGCCTATTTACCGCAATTTTATTGTAAAAATCTTGCATTTTCGGGATTTGCTTCATCTCATTCATCGGAGGAGTGATTGTGCTCTCGATGTACAAATTGTGTGCGTGTACGTGAGGGAATGATACTAATAACAATTTTTCATGTTAGCGTAAAATTTAAGAATTAATTTTAATAATGAGCAAAGCCTGTGCCCAGGTGATTAATGATGTGTTACTGCTGAACTCCGTTGAAAATACTTGCTGATTGCTGAATCCAGAACGGTGTATATCCGATAGTCTCGTATCTTCCAACAATTAAATTCACTGTCAATTCTCGTATTGAGGATTAGAAAAGAATCCGTCATATGGTGATGTGATGACAGCGGTTATACTGTACACCAGGTCATAGCACCTCAACCACGATGAGCACGCTTATACGTTGAGCTCTTTGCTTCAATAAAGTGTACGACGGCATAGTATGAAATAATTTTGAGATAAATGCATTTTGAATTACAGTTTGTCTTGTCTAAGTGCGGTCTGATATGCTGTTGCAATCAAGCAGTCTTCTCATATGATGGCTTTAAGGCAGTTTCACTATACGTGTACGGGAATAATTTTATTTAGTTTGCAATGTCTATTTTACATAATTTGTACATAAGAGTCCCGCAAACTGGTGATCTCAGGACAAGTCCAGCACAGCTGTGTAGCGAAGTGAGTGAAGAAAGCATTTCCTTGCGATGGTCAAATGCCTGGAGCAAGGCAAGTTTGCCTTGAAGTTTGTGTGAACCCCACGTAAAGTGAGAGCCTCGGGCAAAACTTTTTAAAAAATAATCATGCAACACAGCAAAATGCGCTACAGTTAAAATGTGCGTCCAAAGGAAAAAACAAAGACCTTGAAACTATACACACGCATTTAACTACAAATCAATTGAAAAGTGAAGCACATACGAATTTTATTTATCATTTTTAGTGCAGCTGAAATGTTTATTTACATCAGATTTCAATATATTGCAACACGATATATAATTGGAAACGTAAATCATTACGCTAATGCAATAAATTATTAAGGAGGAATCTGGATCTATTACAGCCCAAAGTAATTTTTTATTTCTTCAAATACTTGATTGAACGCTGGATTTCTGGCAGTTGGAATTTAGAGAGTTGGACACATTTTGACGGGACAAAAAGCAGTAGTGAATAAATTGACAATTAAACAAGTGATATTCATGTCAAAATCCAGAAATAACCGCTTCAGGAATGACATCAATAATGAATGTTCTTTCAATACCATATAATAGTTGGCCATATTTGTCAGTACAATGGAACACAATATGTAGGCGAGAAGCGCATTCCTATACGAAACGCTATACCCAAGAATACCGGTGTAGAATTTCCCAAACGCACACAGCTTCATTTCACGAAGGGTTAAAGCGAAGAGTTTTTTGTTGACATTCGAACCCGAGATGGTTAGAAAGCGAGCCAACTCAATCCGAAATTGATACAGAAAAACGTCCATGAAATTTAGAATCTGTCTATTGTCACCCTAAAGACCTTCTTTTGTATCATGGCAAAAAGTTTCCGATCACTGGCGTGCACAATGGAGCTTTAAAATACTTTTTTATTGAAGGGAACATAACTGAGCTCTAGATGCTGTTCGCATAGAGAAGGTCTTGTTCTTTGATATATAATTGCAGTTGTTATAGGCCTGAGTTGCGCCTCGGAGGATTACCATTTTATTTGATAAATAATTTATAATTTAGACAGGAATACAATGTGCAGTAGGAGAAACTAATGAAGAGGTTATTTTTATGGAATATTGTCCTCAACTTCAGGAATACATAGTCTTCATCATTACACCACAGCAACATGGATTAACGATCTATTAGATGTTTGTATTTAATTTTATCTTATTTACCGAGTTTTTCATCATATTTTCAGCATTGCAAGACATTACACTGCTGGCTTCCCCCGCAAAGGTCAGCTGTTTAGGTAGAAATACCTGCGATGTTTTTCCGGAGTTCACCTGGTAGGTGGAATTTATTTTGGCGATAAATTTGAATGAGTTGCAATGAAAACATTTTAATGTGAACTGATCATCGATAAAGAGTACAAAATTTCTGAAGTAAGCCAAGGTTAATAATTTTGGACGAGTACAATCGTTCCAACTCAGATTTAAAAAATTAAAAATTTCATTGATTTCATGCTTCATACAGCTATTGTACTACATTCAACGATTCTTAGATTGACAAGTCAAAACTTTCCTGAGGTGTAAATCAGGAATAATAAAAAACAGTTACTGTTAAACTTTATTTCTAGATAAATACATCACAGTTACAATGACAACAAAAGGATGATCGAGTATGGCTTTCACCCACCAAAGGGCCGGACTTCAAAAATATTTTAGTTATTAAAGAGAAAGAGCTATCAATACCGCAGCGAGACTATGCGACAGGAATTACGATAATGAAGATGATTATTTTGTACTAGGCCTAGACACCACATACTGAGATTTGTGAGTCATGCCATAAATGCAGGAACCAATCAGCGTGAAAGCTTTATTGTAAGTCTGCCAATTAATTAGAAACTTTGAAAAATGATGCAGCTCCCGGTAATACTTTCTCCAATCCGACCCTGGAGGATAAATTACTCTAAATAGATGACAGGATCACAAGAAGTATATTTGCTAGCAGCTGCATAGTAAAAAAAATAGTCATTTGGCGACGCGAAGAAAATGAACTATGAACATTCTTCCATAAAATGCAGGTGAAAAGTATACATTGTAAAGAAAAACCGTATTAATTTGCTTTCGTCAACAACTTGGGTGACGGCAAGGTATATAATGCACAATATCTATACAAAGTACTTTAATCGAAATAATACTCAAATACGGACTTCAATAATCAAAAATATAACATGATGAATTTGAAAATAGAGAATAAAACCTGACAATAAATAATTAATAATAAGTAAACTTATCATAGAATGCGCTATCAATTAAGTAATAAAGGTTTAATAGGTCGAACAGCGACTGTAAGTGAAGCAATTTGTTTAAACCGTCTAGGATACCTCATCTTTTCACCAAGCCAAGTCCTTACACCAATTACTTGTTTAATTTACGACAGGTTGTATCCATTGAAGTCACAAAAAAGTTAACAACCTATGCACAAAATAAGCATAGGCCAAAATCATACTTTTTCTACGCACAATTTGAGGTAGCAAATGATTCTATAAGACGAGGAGCCTTTACCATAATCGCAAACTTTCATCAAAAATATCTAATTATGAAATTTCAAGAAGAAAGATTTCACATAACTTCACGTAAGCTAACAAATCGAATAAAGGTGAGGAATAATAAATGATGGCAGCACAAATAAAATGTAACATTTGGAACAAGATGAACTGGATGTGACTGAACCGGTTTACAAAAAGTGAACTGATGGAGAAATCTAGCACAAATTCAAGGGGCAGCCTTTAGCCGTTTTCGATAAACATCTGTACAATCTGAAATGCCTTATTTTAAATTATCGGCAGGTAACAGGAGGAAGGTCAATGGTCGTCCCAGATTGCCATGATCAGATTACGTGGGATCAAGTTCATGAACATGCGGCGCATAAGTGGGAGTATCCTGTTGTGGGACACAACTATAACGTATATGTTTCGTGACCAACTAATGAAAATAATACAAAAACCTTTATTGTTCTAATAAAGCAGCCCTGAAGAAGAAATTTTAACAAACACAAGACATTACCCAATAATTATAATATTTCGACCGAAAGTTGTGTGAAAGTGTGTTCATAAAAAATGGTCTTCGATTACTGGCCTTTACTTTAGGAACTGATGAAGAGTATTTGGTGCTTGCTGATCCTGCGCCAGTACATTAACCAGAACGAAATAAAATATTTACGGGAATGAAAAAGATCAAAATACCTTCTGGATTAGGCATCATCACAGGCAATAATTGTCTTTTTAATATTATTGAGTTGACCGGCTGCTGGCCTCCAGTGGCTCCCGATTTGACAAACGTAATTTTTACAAGGAAGCTGCTACTTAACAAAAAGAATCGCCTTTTTCCTCATCTCATAACACATGTTTTGACGATTTGAATTATAATCCGTAGGCTTGGCAGCTGCAGCCAGACTTTCCCAGCCACCAACGACCCGACCTTTAGACCCACAGCTCACCACAAAATTCTACGACGATGTAATTCTCCACAATAGTAGCTGTAGGTTGCGGTTGTGTAACGTAGACATAAATCCCGTAACAATTTATGGGGATAATAAATGAGTAAAATGAGAAAAATTTGGTAAAATGGAGCGCGAGCTTTAAGAATGGGTTCAAATAATACTTTATAGATGTTTAGTCATAGCAGTAATGTCTGATGAGTAGAGTAAGATTTCTTTTACATTAAGGAGTTTTGTACATATCCATAATAAGAAGAATAGTAAGAGATTACGTGGTATCATAGGTAATTTAAGGCCAAAAGGCCTTCATTCCCTTAAAAACAACCATTCATAAGTCAACTATTTTTCATTTTATTCAACAGTAATGAGACTTCTCGGATAGTTCTTTTAAAATAACCAACTAATTATATTAGAGAAATAAACGAAATTTGTGATAGCATGGACGTTGTGCACTAATCAATAATAACACACAGAAAGGATTATTTGACGCTTTTTTCACATCTCATTCCCAACACACGCAACTCACTTGGATCTCGCTTGATAGCAACACAAAGCTATGGATGATCTTGACTACATACATAGCTGACAGCAGTACAATAAATCAGTCAACTGCTTTGCCCTCATGTTTTTCAGCAGATGTTTCCTCGCAGCAACGAAAGCTCAAATTAATGTAGTTAGTGCCGGCTCCTCGCCCTCTGATAGCGACAAATTAAAACATACTAAAATGCATTTAAAAGCGACAAATTAAAACATACTAAAATGCATTTAAAACAGCCGAATAATTATTACTTCCTACTTTTATTCTTCTGTCTGCTCACAAGGAGCAGTTTTCTGAGAGCAGAGTAAGCTTGCTCAAGACCTTCCCCAGTAACTGCACACGCGGATGCCGCCACCCATGGATGCTGGTCCTTGATGTCATCCAATCCGAGCGTGTGAGTCAAAACGTTGAGGGATTTAGCAGCAGGAAGATCCTGTTTATTTGCTAGTAGCAGTAAAGGTGGCTTACTGATCCCCAATACTCCACACTGGGCCGCCTGTTGTTTCAACAATCTTTGGAGCTCCAGTCGTGCTTCCTCAAGTCGATCAGCGTTGCTACAAGCATCAACAACGAATATGAGAGCGTCTGTCGCACGGGTGTACGGTCGCCACAGCGGCCGGAGACGTTCGCTGCCGCCTACGTCCCAGACAAGCCACGAGCTTCCACCACATCGAATTTTCTCGCAATTGAAGGCTACGGTCGGCGTTGTGTTAACATATCTTCCGTAACGGAGACGTAACAGCGTCGTAGTTTTGCCTGATCCATCCAATCCCACGAGGACAACGTGGAAAGGAGCTCTCAGTCGAGCCGCGACTCCTGCCCCAGCCCTTGCCACGTTGTTGCCCAAACTTCGGCCGATCTTCTTGATTCGGGACACTCCTACAGATCCCATGCTCATCTAAGAGTGCAAACTTTCAGATGTTGCTTTGATTTTCTATTGTCAGGAGGATTAATTTATTATTTCACTGCGGTCATTTTTATAAGTTCTCAAAGATTAAGCATAAAAACACCAGAGTTCTATTTGCAATATCGTCTAATGACCGAAATTTTTGAAGTTATCAAAGAAAGCCACGGAACTCAGAGCCTTCACCTTTCTTTCGCAGAATCGTTGGGCAGACTGAATGGTGCAGGCGGACTTTTAAATCTGTGCGGCAACACAGCTGCCAGCTACTAATTTCGATCTTATACTGAGTGTGGGCACCCACACTACGATTGTAGTGTTGTTAGACAACACGTTGTGTACTAATTGTGCCTCAACATTCAAAGTATTATCACCACTCTCGTTTTAGTTCTAAATAATTATGCACCAGTTGATTTACGGGGGCCGACGAAAGTTAGAAATCACAACAAAAGCTGTACAAACAAACTTGAGGCACGAGTGTGGCGGCCTTTGGCATCTAGTCGCTCCACTTACCACAATAATGATTGAAAAGGACCGCGCGGGCTCCCATGAGTAGAAACAGCTCTCAATCTTCTGTACATGCCATCATATGACAGCTGGATTCCCTAGCGAACTTTCTTGAGGTTAAATAGAAGAGGAAACTCATAAATAGTTTGAGATAATTGCTAACATGCATGTTGTTGGACAGGAAGCGCTCCAACATGTTGGAGTCAGGGTGAGCTTTGAGGAATTTAAACCCTCATGAAATTATGAGTTTCAGGTTATATTACCCATGGTTGAATCAATTCAACCATGATATTACCCATGTCGAACTGCTTATGTAAAACTCAGTACGATTGTAGCGGGGTTAAATTATTTATTCTGAATAGGGATTGATACATTTAATAATATTAAAAAAATAATTAGATTTGTTTAATTAAAAACACTACTGTATATGATAATAATATATCGCTCAACTGTATTTCGTTTGCTCTATTTTCATGCCCTCGACAGTATAACTCATAAACGCATATACAGACCGTAAGAAATTTTGATTTTAAATATATAATAAATTCGTTTAGCTGGAATTCCTTCTTATTTCCGGTAAATAAATAGTTGAATATTTGCTTAATGATCTAACACAACAACGTTCTAACACAAGACAAAATGCCACCTTAAACATCTTTGACACAGGAGTATGTTGGTTGAATATGTATTATTGTGTAAAAATCGTTCCACAATCCCTCCAACCCCAAAATAATATTTTAGGAGTATTGTTTAATCACCATTTTTCGGCATGAAAATTTTGTATTCATCATATTGTATAGGAATTTAAAATATATATGTAAATTTTTATACGATAAATTTTATTACGCGAGATGATCCTCAATTTGAGTTAGAAACTTTTTTCTAATGTGAAACTAAGGTCGTCGTAGATTTGAAAATTATAACATTGCATTTCTCGATTGCAGAAAAAGTAAAGTCCTAATCGTTGATAAACTTGTATATAATGATTAGAGATTTGCATCTCAATCCCGGTTAATCTTATTTACTTTTTATCAGTAACTTTACAATGTTTTCTTGAAATTTTTTTATTAAGTTGGATAGTTGACCGTTGACGTTGATTAGTTTGTGCTTATGCACCGGAATAAAGAAATAGTCTACCCTATTAATTTTCTTTGCGAAAAAACATAAAAATTACGTTTCGTGGCAAACAATAAGAAAATTTTTATTTCCTCATTTGATCATATATTGAAGGTGACAACATAACACATTCCTATTTAATTTACCTCAAAACTATATAACAGTTTCAATATTTTTCCTACATTCAATTCGCTGAATTGAAATTTTTTTATTAAAGCTACATTCTATTGGGTTATCTATAAGCGAATTTCGATTACTACTGGGTAGAATAAGCCGAGCGGTTCCATTTGGAACCAGCGAGGAAAAATGGATTCATAATAAAATTGTATGATCAAATAAATATACGATTGGATGCTTAGGTTTGATACACATCTTGTATATATGTTCTGGCAACGGTTGGTTCTACTGCGCCGACTACTCCCTGTTTAGTTAACATTCAAAGATTAAAAGAACCTTGTGTCAGACAGGACGGCTTGATATCATCGCGAAAAAAGGTGAGTAATTCGTTCTAAACAAATAGTATTTATTAGTTAGATGCAGAATTTCATCGATAAAGTGAGTACTTTTAATGCTGTACTGTATTACGTGATATAATGTTTATAAAGTCATTTAGATCATGAAACATTTAGCCCGGTTCCAAATAGGACCAAGCTATAATATTTTTACATACTAGGAAAAAAAATATTTGAACATATTTTTTTCATTTATTACCGCCACAAGTGATAATATTTTTAAAGGAAACCAAATAAAATTCAGAAAATTATTCTCTGCGTTAATGGGTTAATGGGTTAGGTAGGTGATTTAAATTGTTATGACGATGTATTCACAAATTACCTAGCCTTAACTAGCCGAACGAGAATATAACCTAACTTAAAATATCTTCACGTGAACTGGCCAACTCGTCTAGAAAAATTTTCAAATTAGAAACCAAGCTTAATAAAAAATTATTGAACTATTCTGCTCATTGCAGCGCATTGATGCTAAAATACGCTTATAATTATCCCTTAAATGCACAGTGTATCATAAATGATACTTACCAAATTTTGCCTCCTTCTCATTTGTCAGTCAGCACCTTCTCATTTGCCTCTCAGCACCTTCTCATTTGCCTCTCAGCACCTTCTCATTTGCCTCTCAGCACCTTCTCATTTGTCAGTCAGCACCTTCTCATTTGCCTCTCAGCACCTTCTCATTTGCCTCTCAGCACCTTCTCATTTGTCAGTCAGCACCTTCTCATTTGTCAGTCAGCACCTTCTCATTTGGCTCTCAGCACCTTCTCATTTGTCAGTCAGTACCTTCTCATTTGCCGCTTAGCACCTCTCAGCGCCCACTAATATTAAGCCTCTACTAAACTAAGCACCTCCAAGGAACACGGTCATCACTCTCTCACTACCCTCTCAACAACCCCTTCTCAGCACCCATAATGAACCCTCTTGGCACCCTTCCGCGCCTTTAGGCACCTTCCACCAAGACACGCAGCATTTTGGTCATGCTCGAACGACACACAGTCGCCAAGTGCAACCCAGTGAGAATTTATAGACGCGGCAGCTTCTGATTCGGATTACCAGAAGCTGGGGCGACTCTAAATTTAGGAAACAAGCGAGGATTGATGCGAATAATTTATTTAGTTATTACTTGGCTTTAATACCGCACCTCTCGAGAAGGGAGAAGTTCTTTGAGACAAGAAATAATCTCCCATTGTTTAGTTGGCTCAAAAACTAAAGGCAAATACGAACAACAATAGCGAATTAATAGGCATTATCTCTTTCTCCACCTCCATCGCGCTGAAAGTTGCCGTTATTTTCGCATTAACATTCTTCCTAAAATCATTTACGTAGGTATAAGGATGACCTGGATAATATTATATATGATCATTTTCCAAGCATCAATATCTGATGTCTCCGTAGCTTTTCTATATAAGTTTTTGAGCTGTACGAAGAGGCGCTGAAAGCAATATGTGTGATTGTTCCATAGGGTCAGCGAACCGCAACCTGCAACGACATTGAATTCCACCACAGCAGCACATCTCTGGCACTGACAGGCAGCTTTTTTGAGCTCACTATTTGTGGAAGGATATCTTTAGTTCTTTTGCGCCCACAAGTTTCTTTGCAATCAAATTTACGAGGTAAGCCAGATTAATGTTGTGCACTGTTACTTTGTGATCAACGCATTTTTCCTCAGTTGTACAATTGCCCCATTGAAACACTTTTGCGCGGCTAGTCCTTAGAGCAAATTAATAATAAATTGGGCGTAGAAATATTAACATATAGTTAGAATTATTATATTATTAACATGCAATTAATATCACAGGCAACAATCGTTTATACCAACTCCCTTGATACATTCCGAGAAAAAGTTACAGGAAATTCTCCGTTCCTTTCTACCTGCTGCTACCTTGCCGCACGAAAGCCAAAAATTCAATATTGATCAAGTAGCAAGTCGCGTTCGCCTTGTTGAGAGCAGGGAGCGCATAAAATTTGGCCGTAGTGCAAACACCACGACTTGAATTTGGGCGAATTGGAAAACTGGGTGCAATGTTTTTTTAGTACTGTGCGCTAGCATTCAGTTGCATTGGTGCGCACTGTGTGCTGGCATTCACTTGTATTGCTATGTACAGTATACTAGCATTCAGTTGTTTTGCTATTTACAGTTCACTAGCATTCAGTTGTATTGTTATGTACATTAAACTAGCATTCAGTTGTATTGCTATTTACATTACACTAGCATTCAGTTGTATTGCTACGTACAGTACACTAGCATTCAGTTTTATCGCTATGTACAATACACTGGCATGTAGTTTTATTGCTTCTAAACTCCAAAATTAAGCAAAGAAAATTGGAACTTGACTGAAGGCTTCGATGTACCCTCGCTAAAATGCTCAAAATTGCTTAATGTAAAATAATATTTATAAGAATTACGAGAGGTGAAAGTTGTTCCAGTTTTGATCAATGCAGTCATTCGAACTTGGATGTTGTAGAGTTTCAGTAACAGTTACTGCAAAGTTCATTTCATTTATGGTAATATGCTTCATACGCCGTGGCATCAGTTATAATTTTCCGCTGCATTTCCCTTCGAGTCTTCGTCATGAAAATTTTTACAATTATTTATAAACAATACTCTCCGTTATCAGACCTTGGTGGAAGCAATACTAAAAAATATTTAAGTTTATATTTGTCATTTTCCTGTTCACGCGTTGTGCACCGTTATTCTTTGGATTTAGCTTAGGTTTGTCACTATGTTCTATATGAGTAATTGTTTCATTCATCAGGATTTCGGCTAGATTTGAAAGTGCGAGCTTTGATAAATCACTGAGTTGCGTTATCGCGTTAACGGCTATTGTTCAACAGGCCAATCATACGCTATCAGGAATCACCGCCCTCTACGATATGCCTCCTCTTGTACGTGCATGGCAGCAATCATTTCACTGAAATTATGACGATTGTACTACAAGAAAATTAAATCTTCTCGTAGCTGTATAAAAAAGATTCACCATGTGTCGCGAATTTCTTGAAAAACGTGTGTTGTCAAACAATTATTTAAATATCTAATAATTTATCTATCAATATTATTTGTTATAAATTGAAATATCTATCTGATTGAAAATAGTCTTCAGAAAACTCATTGCAGATTAGAAAGTCGGGGAGAATTGTTTCGTCTGGAATCCCTTCAATTTGCACTCAATAATTGACAGGTCCAACTCGCAGATACGGACACTTCCGAAGGCAGATACCGACGACCTTCGGCGGAAAAACGCGGATCTTCTAACAAATGTACAGGGATAAGTCTCAGGTCCCTTGTTCGATCCGTTAAAGTCTTTATGAATGGCGTGACTTGCTCTTTTGTGTGCCTCTTTTACAGCCTCTTTTGTAAGGAAACCCTTGTGCGCAAGCGCATTGAATGAAAACATTTGAAATGCTCCAAAAACGAGCTTGGAAAACACTAACTTTTTAACTGCAAAATCGAGGAATCGTGTTTATTTTTGCAATTGTTGTCTTTTTGGTGAAATTCACCGTACGCTTTTTGATCTAACTCGCTGCCATTTCGATTACTTGAATTGATCAGGATCAAGCATGGTTGATATATGTTATAGATATTAATGCATAACATTAATCAATAGTTGCTGTCCCCAAAACATCATCTCTTTTATCTTAAAATTTGCATCAACTTTTTACTAAAAAACGTGCAGATTCAGCATTGTATGCGCCAATCGTTAATTTCAATTCAACGTGTAAAAATGGAAGATCATTCTACAATTAACATGATTTTCACAATTTCATGAGCGTGAAATTAAGTAACATCAGATGAAAATATTGTCTTCGCTTTTATTTGGGCTATGATTCGGAAGCTAAAATTTGAAGAATCGGCTTCAAATTTACGTTCATCTCCAAATCTCGACTGACGCAACACCTGCTATCTCTAATGATGATTATGGTGCAGTTACCCAGCGACAGATGAAGCCCCGCATGCGGGTTATCACTTATCATCTTCGTCATAGGTCAGAGTTTCGGGCTCCGAGCAAGTCATAATTAGTTGAAACGTCGTCATATGAGCAGTAGAACACACCAGCAGGTCGGTGTTAAGTTTTTTAAACATCAGTCGTTACACCGATTTACTTATTAAAATCGTTTAATTTTAATTCAGACACGCGTATCTCGTACCGGTTCTATCACATTTCTTGTTGTGAGCCCTAAATGCTGGTTTTTAGTATGACATCACTGATCGCACCCAATTTTCTATCGAAATGTTTTCTGGGCAAAAATTTCACCCTCATGTTTTCATTCGCTGATCTCTTTTCCGATACTATAAATTTTTATTTTGAATTCAAAATAATGCAACGCACAAAGAGAATTTAGTCAGCTGAATAAAATCAGAAAATTTACCGTTTTTTATGCGCCCGGAAATCATACCTGTTTTATCCATATGACTTATAAATGTTAGAGTGTGAGCCTTGTAAACGGCAAATTCTTCTTATGGAAATAAATCCAAATTTCATTAAAAAATTTCAATGCATAAACTGAGCACATATAGTCATAGAGATTCCAGTTATGAATTAATAAAAAAATGTTTCGAATGATTGCCACTGCGTGGATTCAAAAAGAGTTCTCTCAAGGGGGCCTTCTGACGTGCGTCTATGCTCGTCAGAAGTCCTATGGGATTTCGCGTTCTTGTGGCATTGTTCCTGTGCGCCCCACCACAGAGTTCACGATGTCTTACTGCGAGTCTAAGTTTTAGAGTTGTGTTTTTATGTGGGAAGGACTCCTCACATTTCTCTTCTCTGTCTTTCTAGTGCTAACGCCCGTCTAAGTGAGTGACCTTAATTGTAAGAGTGCCTTCGTAGCTTTACTTGCCCCGCCTTATTCCTTGGTTTCTTTGAGATGCTAGCGCTACTGCTTTCATGTCAGTTTCAGTGACTTGGCTACTTTAAGACCTTCCGCCCCATGTGGGTGATGAATGATTTTGATTTAAAAATTTTACGACAAGTGAGACGTTCAACCTTGTTGGTGATGCAAATGTTTGACATCCGGTGCGAGATAACTTATTAGCTGAAGTTTTTACCAACCATGTAGACAGTATATTAAACTAAACTCACAATAATTCTAATGCCTTGCAGTCTCTAGGAATGCCATCGTGGGACGAGCTCTCTAGCAGAGAGCGCAACCTCTGCAAGTGTCTAGGATTCTTCGTGGTCGTAGCTGTAGGACTGGCCGTCGCCGTTGCCGTCTTGACTGTTGTCTGTAAGTTTATATTTATATATAAAAAAATACAAATACTCTTACTTTATCAGTTCATCACCGACAGAAAAGGCTTTATTAAGGACAACTCACTTTTTTAAGATAATTTTTCAGAAAAATCATTCAGAGCTTTCAGATGCTCTATTTTAACTTGAAATTTTCAACCAAACAAACCGATTCGTTCGTATTTCGCTCTGTATGGTCTCTGCATAGAGCCTTGAAAACGTTCCACCAACTATAAAAAATTTGTAATTTTTTCCAACTTTTCAGTCACGAAACAGATCAAAGAACTGGAGGCCTCAAACACCACCACGACTACGCACGACTCAAACATCACCACTGTTGCAACAACGGAAACTACGGATGATGCAAACAGCACCACTATTGCAACAACGGAAACTACGGATGATTCAAACAGTACCACTATTGCAACAACGGAAACTACGGATGATTCAAACAGTACCACTATTGCAACAACGGAAACTACGGATGATTCAAACAGCACTACGAATGCCACAACAGAGACCACAGATACGACTCATGTCGCGCCTACTAACACTACGACAAAGACCACGACCACTTCAACGACAACAACAACAACTCCGGCAAACACAAAATCAACCAGTACTACGACCACAAAAAGCGCAAGTACTTATTTAGAGAATGGCAAAGTGGCACGCTCACAGTCAAAACCGAAACCCGATTTGGACCTCAATAAACTCGTGCAGAATTCGGGCGAGATGCACTGGAGCAAGGGGCGCGAAGGGATCCATAGAAGCCCTATGAATAAAGAGAATTTTGAACGATTTGAAAGAATGCAAATCTCTCATCCGAAGTGGAAAACTTTATTCTCAAAAGGACGAAGTGATGCTGGCGAACAACATCGTAGAGCCTGAGCCAGACGAGTGGTTTGAGTTGGATGAGAGCACCAAAACCATATGCGAGAAACTGTACGGGTACAGTGTCTGTAACAAGAGTTTGTTGGCTAGACGTATCAATTTGCGAAATAAAACTAAATACTTCCATTGTTCTTATACATAATTGGACTTTGATAATTTTTTCATTAACTAAATGACGAGCAATAATAATTTTTCGCAATTTGGTTGAAGTAGTACCAATGCAGAATGAACTTTTTTTTTGCATTTTGCTTCTCCAGGCTGTGAAAAACTCCATTGGGCATCTACAAATAAATTTACATTTTCTCAAAATAAACAACCTCGCGCTCAAGAAGTGATGCAAATATTAATATATATGCCTAATGAATGTGTTAAAATTATTTATCTCAGATCATGTCCGAAATGTTCAATCTAACCTTTTAATCTTATAATAAATACTCTATAGCCTCTACGAATTAGCAAACTTCATTGATAACAAATTTTCCAAAAATTTTGGCATAAGATTTATCGATACTTTATTATTTATATATCACAAATGTAATTGTGCTCATTTGCCCTGATTTATTTCCTGTACATTTTTTTTTTTGTTTCTTTCTTCACAATGTTTACACTTTTATTTTCATCTATCCATTGAAATATAAGCGAAGAATCAAACCCGATGATTATTAAAATCATTCATTTAAATTGATCCTTACACTACTCAGGCAACAATCGATGATATTAAATTCAAGTTGATAACAAACGCAAATGGTTTTGGCGCTTCGTCTCTAGGCAGGCGCGGAAAAACATGAGGCCACACCGAGCGGCCACTAATGTAGATGAACTTTAACTGGCGAATAGGGTGCGTAGCGAATAATTATAAGCTCAGCAATGAGAAGTGAGAGCAGGTGCTGGCTAATCTATTTACATAATTTATATTCAACAGGCTGAGTGAGGCACGACCCACTGGTGGGTTGCAGACTATTTTTTCCAGAAAATTCCGCAATTTAGTTTATTTCCAAATTTTGTTTGTGGACAAAAATTAATTTATGATGTAAGTACTACCTCAATAAATTTTAAAATGTACTCAAAAGCGAAAATTTAATTTTTCTGCCGAAACTTACAAATTTCTTATTATATTTTGAATTATAGGCCTTAATTTTTATCCGCGGATTTGGCCGTTTTTAGGCCATCTGGCAGCGCTGGTGGATCGTGCCGCGTCGCAACGTGTTAAAACTTTCTAATGGATGAAAAAATGATGTGTTTTCTTATTTTACACAAGTTTTCATCTTATTTTATTCATGATACTTTGGCTATTATTATAATCATTTTTTGGTTTAGGTGGTGAGGAAGATGATGGTGATGATGGTAGTGTAGATGATGATGATAAGAGGCAATGTATCGCTTGTGATTCGTGCGGTAGGATAGGATAGGACTTTGGGGGTCAGGTTCAAGCTTAATGGACGATTATCAGTCCTGTGTTGCACTCACGGTGAGTCTTGTCACTCCGGCAACGTAATTGGGCGACTACGCCTGCTACGCCTGCTGCCTATACTTTTAAAAAAAGTTAAGAGATCGTTAGTTCATTAGCCAATCATTGACGGCCTTTCAAGCGAACTCCACCAATCGTAGACGTTCACTTAGCGAATTTCTCAGCGAATTTCTTAGCGAAGTATAAGCCGGCGCGATCGCTGACAACTGACGACCAGGCGAAGCTTGCCCGTCGTCAGTGTTTTTGATGATATTTTACACACCCAAACACATTCGTTTGGGTGTCGCAAACACATTCAGACCTTCGGGTGCAGCATGTCTCACTGTGTAGGTTGTGTGGGCTGTAGGTAATGTTTACATTGATGGGGGGGGGAGGTGGGGGCTAGCAATTCGGAACTTTTGAATAGCCGATGTTGTCTTGTAATGTTGTCTGATGGGATAGTTGAAGGTAAGGTAGAAGAGCTGCGTGTTGTAAGACTTTAAAGTTGGACCGTTGTGTGTTTTTGAGCAACATCATTAGCTCATTGCTCCGTGTCACATTAATCTTCCGCTGTGCCCGTGCAGTTTCCATGTCTTTGTGCAACAAAAAACGAACTCTGAACCTCATGGCCGCTCCCCAGGAGTGTAGCCATTCGTATATGAATTTACTTTATAATATAATGATATTCTCATCAAGCGGCCTCTCAAAGCAATTTTTCTCCATTGAACAGTACGTTAAATTGAACATTTTCTTAGGTAGAACAAGTCCGATGGCTATACGCTGCTTGATGTGAGGATACGTACTAAATTTACATTCTTGGCTAACGAGCAGTCAGTGTTAGGTTATTTCTAGTGTTAAAATGGACCTATAGCTTTCAATCATTAAACAATGTGTAATTGAAAAGAAGTTAGAAGTAAAATCTGTCAAATTGCAATGGATTTCTCCAGAATATTTTTTCGTATTAATGGAATACTGGTGTCCTTGAAGTAGACTCATTTTAATGGATGAAATTATTTACCAAATTTTTTATTTTAAGTAATAAATGAATTAGAATTTAGTTAGGCTAAGGAAAATGAAATTTAATTCTAAATTCAATGATTCTATTTCCGAATTTTTATTAACGGTTCTACGAATTGAAAAGATGTAAATTTTATAGTTCAATGAATTCTTTTCATAGTGGACTTGAGAATTCAATTACTAGCATTGCTCATCAGACCAATAAGAATTGTGGAAGTTGTTTCCAATATATTTGTACAAAAGCTTTCCCTGGAATCGAGAGATCAACAGCACGACCGGAAAGTTCCGGTGTCAAGACGTTGTAGCAAAACTCCCGCCATCCGTTAACCGTGAATTTCTTGTTTTGCGAGCAGCCAGCACAGCCAGCAATCAGTCTAGGTGAAGTTGAAGCCACGAAGTTTCACCAAGTTTGACCTGATAGGCTAACTTCTGCGGTCAAGGCTCCTAACTTGAAAGGCAAGAGAATTGCTTATCTAACGCCACGCTTGTTTGTGACCTCATCTTTTACAGCGTTAGTCATATAATTCGGTATGAAGTAATAGAGTATACTCATTACTCACCGTCGCTTGTTTCATAGTTACATGAAAATTCAAATGACATTCATTTGACTCACTTCATCCAGTGTATGCACATTAAGAGATAAAAGTCATTTATTGAATATTTCCAAGAAAAGTCAATTGTTATTCATTTGACTCGCTTCCTACAAGCGCATTTCACAAATGCAGTGACTTCTGTAGAATAATTAAGTAAGAATAAAGCTCTAACCGCGAGCATTCAAGTAGTGCACCTATAAAATTCCCAAAGCTATTCTGATTAAAAGTAGTGTTAGTGTAGGACAAAGTTATATTTTTGATTGTGATTTATGATAGGAAATCAGCAAAGTCACTCCTAAAAACTAAGATTTTTATTTAAATAAATATTTGTCGTACCTACGTGTTAAGCTTATTATAGTGTGACTGAGGCAGTTAACTCCGAGCAGCCGAGTAGAAGGGCCGCGGCGATAGCACGCGTTCTAAATATGCAAGTCACACGCGTCATTGAGTTCATTGTGTGGGGGCTGGTCAGCTACCGGAGACTGCAGTGACAATAATTAAGCACCGCGCAAATGTCTTATCTTGCATATACATTCCGCCAATAAGTCGTGCATGTTGCAAGGATCACTGCGCAAATGTCACTGCCGAAATGTCCTTGATTTATTACTCAAAGGCGATCTCGATTTAGGATTTGAATAATACACTCTGAAGTCTTTTTGAATACTAATGATAATCTAATTTTGGTTACAAAACGCCCCTGTCGCAAATCCTGACACGAGATCAGGTGAATCATAAAATAAATAGAGTTGATGACAAAGTTTGGTTTAATTAAAAATTAGCCTAACGTGTTTATTCTGTCTTAATTTGACGACCGAACCTGTCAACGCTGTGGCTAATGTAAACATTTTGGGCCTAGCAAACCTTTGCAATTCTGACTTCAAACAAATTACGACCAAAATATATATGAGAATAGAGCAATTTTTGGTTTGTGAGTCTTTTCTATAATTTATTCAATCGTTATATTCAGATATGCCAGATGAAAAAATGCATTGAGACGTTCACCTGATGTTTTCGTTCGACTCGTGCACTCAATTATGAAGGAATGCCTCCAAATCTGTTAATGCTTTTTCATTCGTCTCCTGAAATAAAAACGAACAATGATGCATTTTTAATCTTCGTTCATTCAAGACGATCTACTTATAAACTGGACTTTGATCACAATCAGAAAAATTCCATTCATATGAATTAATATATCAGTAATAATCGATTTTCCTTTGCTAATTTTGAATTTTATAAATACCTCATTTTAAAGTAAATAGTCTAGATGACTTATCAAATGACAAAACAGCTGCTACACCAAACACTTAACAGTTCAAACATAATTTTAATCCGAATAAAATCGCCAAGTGGACAAAGATTACATCTTACAGACTCGTCCAATGCTAACTAAATATCCAAGTTTTGTATGGATTTATTACTGATCGATGAGGTCATAAGCATACCTTATTATAACTTAAAAAAAACACATATTCAATATTTTACTTTTATTACTGTCTAAACTAGTTCTTTTACTCTAAATGTACGTCTCGAGATTTTAAAGCGCTTCGGAACAGAAGAAAATCTTTTAAAGCATAGAAGCCGAGAGCTGATTGTTGAAGGATCCGAACCCCTTGAGATTCAAAAGAAACAGGTTCACCTGTTGTACTTGACTAGAGTACCTGACTCTTGTGAAGACCTAAGTGCTCAATGTAAGAGCCGTTTCGTAAGCTACTTTTTGAGATTGCTTGATTGTAGGGCGTTAAAGGCAATGATGACATTCCATTTTCAGAAAAAGGGGCCAAGGGGGCCGTAGGTTCTCGCCTATGAAAAAGCATTCAATTTCTGTAATTTATCATTTTCAAACTGTCAAGAAACCAAGTAGACTGCAATATATTACTGCAAATGACAATTAGTCAATGAGTGGCAACCGATGGTTTGAAATATTGTTTTTGTTCCATTTCGGTCTGCTGCCCCGCTTGTTTTGACTCTCACAGGGATGGACTTAGTGAGCACAACATCCTATCAGGATTATTCAACCTGAAGCAGAGTTACTCTGAAGCCAAAGGTTCAGCCTTCCTATTTTCCACCTTCACAAGGCTTTTGGAAAGTGTTCAATAGTGTTCAATAGTGTTCAATAGAGCTTTAAATTTGCATCAAAACTTTGTGTTAGAAACAAATAGTGATAAAAATTGTTATAAAATAGCGATAAAAAACGAATAGTCATAAAAATGTTTCGAGAATTAGATGAAAATAATTCGAAAGGTCAAATAAAATTTTAAGGTTTGCATAGCTAACTTTTCGGAATTTCTGCAGCTTTTATTGCATTTGAACAAAAAATTAGATCAACGGCGAAACGATACATATTTATGTATGTTGAAATTGCAATGAGGGTAAAGATTTTTAATAATTAGTTGACAATAGTGGGGCATGAAACTTAAAATAATTTTTTCACATTCGGAAGGCTTGGTTTCTGTTACGTCCAGAATTAATCATGTTCTTGTACTGCGCAATCATCATCAAAGATAGATAATAACCATCACCACTAAATAAATCGATAATAAAAATTATAATTATCATTTTTAATAGTTAACCTCTGTAATAATCACCTTTATACATAATTCTTTATAATCGACCTTCATACACAATAATTTGCAACTAGAACTTAATCTGTTGTTGACCACATAATAAATCTATACAAGTGAGCAAATTTGATATATGCAGAAAATTAAATTTTATTCTGATAATTGAATCCATTATACTTCGGTAATTTCCCTAACAATGTTATGGCGAATAAATCGATCAACCATAACATGGAATAATATTAGTACTGGTGCAATGCAACTGAGAATGTGATGAAAAAATAAGAAATTGCCAGGCAGAAGAAGGAGAACTGAAAAAGAATAATGTAAGAAAAACGTCTTGCACTAACACCAAAGAATAATGTAGTGCGAATAAGAAAAAGTTCTTGCACTAACCTCACACGAGCAAATGTACTGCAGAGGCTCTTGATTGTATCGTAGCTACGAGACAGCACGTCACCCGAGTCAGCTCCACGAAGACGAAGACTGATGTGTTGGCGACAGAACCTGAGAGCTGATGGCAACACCAAGCGTCGATTTATAATCCAATATCAGGCAATACCAATTCGAAATAAAAGTTTAATTTTAGTTAGCTCTTCATGTCATAACGTTCGACCACGATGGTACTACTTGGATTTGTAGCTGCAGTTTGTTTGTTTGTTTATTCATACAGTAATAATTTCTAAGGTAATAAATCATTGAGAAATTGTAAATGTGTCGTATAGTACTTTCCTTGCATTTCATTGCATTAAAAAACGAAGGAGATGTAGCAGTTGATGACAGGTGAAAATTTTAAATATTTGAATCGAACCCAAAGAGGTAATTTTGAGTTTTTCTTTACGGATGGTTTATATATTAGCAATGCATAAGCACACCTCTCCCAAATTTGGTTATCTAGTTTTCAATAGCTATCAATAATATGAACGATAAGTTCATATTATTAACTCAAGTCCATAATAATTCGTACGAAATGTATCCTAAAATCAGACACGGAAGCTCAGTTCCAAATTAAATTGGGAATTGGCAATCTTTACCCACCTCCATCATGTCAAAACAATGCGTAATTAAGTGATGATATTGCCAGGCGCGACATGATATTATCATGCATTGCTTCCCTCAGAGGCGAGCTACCGAACGGTCTCCAGAGAATGGGAACAATGAGTTCATTTTCCCGTATCTTATTTGAAGTAAGATAATGTGACGGACGCTGATTTGCTTCCGACGCAATGTCGAATATTCAATGCTCGGTATGAATTGAACAGAGCTATCAATTTTAGCACCTTGACACTAATTATTTTACTTTTCAGTCCTTATAGCCCATCTGACAAAAATTAAACATTTATTAAGTAATATATTACGTTTAAAAGTAATATTAAATGTATAAATTTTTGCAGTATTTGAAAGTCTGTATGCAAATGAAGACGGATTTTAGTTTTAACCAATCCCACATTGAACTTTATTCTTCGTTTGGACCAAAACCACGAAATAATTCTGGTTTCGTATTTTCCAGAGCAGAAACCATCTTTGGAATTTATTGCCACAATCGTTAACCTTAGGATACCCAACAATTTCTAAATAACGCAACAACACATCTTTTGAGTCCATATCTTGACTTTAACCGCCTTGACTTTAACCGCCTTGACTTTAACCGCCTTTAACCGCCATCTTACTTCAAGCCAGCAGCCTTGTATCAGAAGGGTACATTGTTTAACCTTTTGTGACAATGGACAGCGATGATGGGCAACGATATTACGAGAATCGCTGACATTTTCGCATGAATATTTAAAGGTTTTCGGTACTCCTATGATTATTTTATTGAAACAAACGGTTTAAAAACCTATAGAAATCAGAAGTGTAGGAAAGTAAGCCATAGTACGGTTTATTTTAAGGCAAGCGAGGGAGAAGAAGCCTGATGCTTCGTCTCACAGCTGCTTAAAAGCGAGCTGCTTAGGGCTCTCGTTAGGCGCCCCGTAGCAGATGAAGGATTTATGAGGAAGTCTCTGCCTGAGGCAGGATTGAAGGAGATTACAACGCGTTACTTTCTTAATGTGATTAGTTCTGCCGAGAACGCTGCAGACCGCTGGTTGTTTTATTAATCTTTGCCTGCGTGTATTTTTTTGAGTAAAGTTAAGAAAGCTGTCAAAATTGATATAAGAAAACTGGACTTCGCTTATAAAATCTCTTATCGTGGATAAATTTACATTACTACTGAATTAATATATATTTTTAGATTATACTAATATTGATATGTTGAAGAGTTTTTTCTAACCAAAAACTTGGAATAAGGAAAATATATAGTAAAAGTGTAAAAGAAAATAATAGACACAGTGAGCTACATAACAAAGATCTACTTCAAGGTTTATTAAGGCTCCGGTGATAATATGAGAAGTTTCACTAAAGAATACTGTAAAGAATTTTACTGAACATACTTCTCCCGTGTACATAAGGTTGGGACCTTTTACGTAGGACCAGAGTTGATGAGCTCGGACAAAATTCATTTTGAACCAAACTTGCCCGAGATTGTTCAGCAATTTGGTATGTTATCATTTACTTATGTTATGATCCTTTTATTGCTTGTTACCTTGTTTTTTTTTCAGATTGTTCATTCTTTGTTTTCAGAAACCGTTACAATCCACAACGAGTTTTCATTCTGAACAATCCCCTGAACAAAGAGCCATATTCTTTACAGTTTCAAATTGGCTGACTGCAAACTATTAGAAGTGCAGGAAAGAAAGATCTGATCAAGTTAAGGCAACAGAAGCGTAATGCAGCGCACTCCACCCAATTGCAAAAGCGACGCCATGTCTACGCATCCGTCTGGAAAACTGGCAGCTGTAACTAGGAAGCAGAACCTAATAGAAGAAGAGCTTCTTAAGGACACAGTAGACTGTGTTTTGATTCGTGCTAAGTACACGGATTATTTGTTGCAGTTAGAGACCTTCCTAAAGGCCTGTGAACAAGACGTGGATGAGGACTGGCTGAGACCCCACCGTGCTAAAATAGACCTATTTCGTTCAAAAATGGAAGATTTCTTCGCGTCTCAACGGGAGCCGGATGCTTGTTCCAGCCATGGCAGTCGCCGTTCCGGAAGCGTACGTTCGGCTGCTAGCTCCACAACATCGTCAGCCAGAGTCAAACTGGCCCAACAACGCGCAAAGACGTACGCCGAAAAGGCCCTCTTCGAGAAGGAAGAAAGGCTTAAGGAAAAAGAAATGGCCATTCGACGTAGCCAACTACAGCAAGAGGAGGAACGCAAGAGAATCCAACTTCAGCAAGAGGAGGAACGCAAGAGAATCCAACTTCAGCAAGAGGAGGAACGCAAGAGAATCCAACTTCAGCAAGAGGAGGAACTCGAGAAAATAAACCTCCAGAAACGGAGGATCGAAATAGAGAAGGCAGATATTGAGAACAAAGTTTTGGAGGAGCAGCTGGACTCCTTGGAGGAACGGAGAGATTCCATGGATATTTCAAGCTCTTCTGAATCAATTATCTTACGCAAAACCTCGAAACGACTATGTACTAACCGCGGGTTGGAGAATTGTCCCAGTGCTGCGATTTCCGGCGCCTTGACACAGGACGTTTTTATCAACGTTTTAGAAAAACAAAACGAAATTTCAAGTTTATTAGCCAGAAATCAGGAAGAAGCCTCGCTGCCTCCTAAAAAACTTGAGCCATTTAGCGGCGAAGACGTGACCGAATTCAAGGCCTTCCTGAATAAATTTGAAAGCGTAATAGAGTCAAAGTGCACAAATAATCTTGATAGACTCGCCTATCTGGAACAATATACGATCAAAGATGCCCAAAAATTAGTGAAAAGCTGCCTGAACGCCGACGCGACGATTGCTTATCAGCAGGCAAAGTTACTCCTTAAGAGAGAATACGGAGACGAATTTAGGGTAGCTGACGCGTACTTGACCACGCTCCACGCTTGGCCAGAAATCAAATCTGAAGACGCCCATGCTTTTACCGAGTTGTCCCTGTATCTGATGCGCTGTCAGAATTATTTGAAAGATGCATCTCAGGCCAACCCGCTGCAAAATCCGAAAGTGATTATGGAGGTAATTCTTAAGCTCCCGTACAAGCTCAGAGAACAGTGGCGTCAGAAGACGCGTACCTTGATGCGGTCTTCTCGTCCAGTGGTTTTCGAGCATTTGGTTGAATTCATTCAGGACCACGTGGACTTGTTGAAGCAACCCCTGTTTGGTCACATCTCAGATAAGGTGGTCGAGAACAAACTGAAGCCCGCAACACAAAGGAGCAAAAGGATTCTAGCTTCTGTCTCAAGCGACGTTAAAAATGAGAAGAGTTGTGTATGCTGCAAAAAGGATAACCACACGCTTTCGGAGTGTTTCTTCTTTGAAAAGATGTCGTTTCCTGATAAAACGTCGTTTGTGAGAAAAAATGGGCTCTGCTTCAAGTGTCTCGAGGAAGGACACCTCTCAAAGGTTTGTTTATCGAAACCAATTTGTAAGACATGTCAAGGCCCGCATCAAACAGCGATGCACAAGCAAGTCGATCCGACATCGCAACAGGGAAAGCGGGAACAAATTTCAGAGTTGAACACCAGCCGCATAAGCGTCCAGGGCTCCGCCAAGTCAGCAAGGGCAGATACCGTTGCTGGGGTCGGTGATGTTATCAAAGGATCGATTATTTGCCCTGTCGTGCCGGCTAAGGTAAAAACCAGAACAAATTCGAAGGAAATTACCGTCTATGTGGCGTTGGACACGCATTCCACAGATTGCTGGATCAACGAAAAACTACTGCACGAACTTGGCGATGACGGAGAGGAATCCTCGATTTGTGTCACAACAATATCTAGCGTCTCCCAGAGAACGAAGACCAAAATTCTACGCAACCTGCTTTTGAGTGATATTGATGGCAACAAGGTAGCTCTGTTGCCTCTTCTCTATTCGAGAGACGAGCAAAGTTGGCCGTTCTCGAAGGACGATATCCCAAGCAGCCAAGACGTTTTGAATTATGATTATCTTCGGGATGTTCCATTCAATTTCGTCGACGCTGAAGTCAACATTCTTATCGGAATGAATAATCCCGGCCTCCTAAAGTGCTTGAAAATAGTCGACGGTGGATGGAACCAGCCATTCGCGTCATTACATTGGCTCGGATGGGCACTGAACGGTCCTGTCCGTAGAGCTCAAGCTACGTCGGCGTGTAAAAGGACAAACATTATAAATAGTGTTGAGAACGACCTGGAGATTATGTATTCAAGAGATTTTGCCGAGCCGGAGGATGGAGTTAGTATGTCGATGGAAGATTTGGCATGGGAGCGTAAAGTAAGTTCTAGCATCAACACGCTTCCAAACGGACAATGCGAAATAAGTCTTCCGTTCATCGCAGATAATCCCATATTTCCGTGCAATAGGGAACAAATTCTCAAGAGGTTTAAAGCTTCTCTGTCCAAGTTTAGGAGAAATCCTAATTTTTACGCGGAGTATCAGGATTTCATGGACTTGATGGTTAAAAACGACTTTGCCGAGAAAGTTCCAGTCTACGAGCTTGAAACGCAGCCCGGAAAATGTTGGTATCTCCCGCATCACGCGGTATACCACAAACAGAAGGGGAAGTTGAGGGTTGTCTTCGACTGCTCAAACAAGTACCGGGAGGTTTCCTTGAACGACATGCTCCTTCAAGGCCCAGATTTGGCTAATAATCTCATTGGAGTTCTCCTACGCTTTCGCCAAGAAAGTTTTGCTTTCGCCGCTGACATAGAAAAAATGTTTTATTGTGTGCGCGTACCTCGATGCCAGTCCGACTTTCTGCGTTTTTTCTGGATCGACGACGTGGAGGGGGCCCCTGTGGAATTCAGGCTCCGCGTTCACGTTTTTGGGGCGAGAAGCTCACCAAGTATTGCCAACTATGCTCTGCAAAGGGCCGCAGCTACTCACTCGTCGAGCTCACTGGTACAGAGGTCTATTCATCGCAATTTCTACGTAGATGACCTCTTGAAATCCACATCGGATTTAAACGAAGCCGTGAACCTCATGCAAGACATAAAGTCCACCCTGGCTCAAGGCGGCTTTAATCTGACGGGAATACGGAGTAATTCTCGACCGTTTCTGGATGCATTTCCTAAAACAGAACTTGCTCAAACACTGAAGCAATTAGATTTTACAAAAGAAGATTTGCCGAAAGAAAAAACACTTGGGGTACTTTGGAATGCGGACGCTGATTTCTTCACCTTCGCTCCCCTACAGCCACCGGGTTGTTCCTCACGAAGGAATATACTCAGTCTCACCGCCTCTATCTACGACCCTCTTGGTTTGATTGCGCCAGTGATCGTGAGGGGACGGAAGATTTTTCAAGAGTCGTGTCGTTTGCATCTTGATTGGGATCAGCCGCTACCTCCCGAACTTCGCCAAGCCTGGGAGGACTGGTTGGCCTCGTTGGATTCGCTGTCTGCATATGAAATACCAAGATGTTTAAAATTTTCTGTTGCACCTCGTGAAACCATTTCCACAGAGCTGCACACGTTTTGTGATGGCAGCGAAACTGCCTACGGAGCAGTTTGCTACTTGAGATTCATAACTTTCGAGGGTGCCTTCGTGAGTCCGCCAGTTTTTTCAAAAGCAAGACTCACTCCTCTCGGTAATAAAACTCTGAAGACAATTCCTCGAATAGAGTTGTGCGCCGCTAAGCTCGCAGTGGACGTTGCCAGATGCGTGCAACGAGAAATAGAATTCAACTTGGACAAACGATATTTCTGGTCAGATTCAACAACTGTTCTAAGTTACATCAGGAACGACTCTAGAAGATTCCAACGATTTGTGGCTAACAAAGTCGCGTACGTGAGAACCTGGTCGGACGCTGGAGATTGGCGTCACGTTCCCTCGGAGCACAATCCTGCTGACTTGCTCAGTAGAGGAGCTACCCCCGAAAAGCTCAAAGCTTCCAGAGAATGGAATCTAGGACCGACTTTCTTATCGGATCGGGATTTGTTTGTCTCTGATGATATCTACGAGATTAATGAAACTGATCTTGAATTGAAAAGCACCAGGCTTTTTAAGACGATGGGCAGCGAACCAGACGTCATTTCCAAATTAATCAACTCTACGTCAGCCTGGGAACGGCTGCGATTCCGGGTGGCATGGCTTCGAAAATTTATCTCCTATCTGAGATCACGAACGAATTGCGAGAAACTTTTAACTGTGAACGACTTGAAGCTGGCAGAGGATTCAATAGTTCGGTACGTACAAACCCTCGAATATCCGGCACAGAATATTCTGAAGCGAGATGGCTTGAAAGAAATGGGCCTGCATAAGTTGAATCCGTTTTACGACAAAAACGGCATCCTCAGAGTTGGAGGACGGATCAGACGCTCAAGATTGGACCACGAAGAAAAGCACCCTATCCTGCTACCTGCCCGCTCCCACATCGCTACTCTTCTCGTGAATAAAACACATCGGTTCTTGGGACACCTCGGGAAAAACTCTGTTCTTTCAGAACTTTCTAAAAAATACTGGATTGTTGGAGGACAACAACTTGTGAAGAAAATTCTGAGCAGATGCACTATTTGCATCAAGTATCAAGGAAAATTTTGTGCTCAAATGATGTCCGATCTGCCCGCCACGAGGCTGGCGACGGACACTCCAGCCTTTACCCATGTGGGTATTGATTTCTTCGGGCCTTTTTACGTGACTAATAACCGTAAGTCGGAAAAACGTTTCGGCGTGATTTTCACGTGCTTAACAACTCGAGCAGTTCATCTCGAAGTGGCCTTTTCCCTCAATACGGACTCCTTTATCAGTGCCTTCCGTCGCTTTCTCTGCCGGAGAGGAAACGTAGCCTCCGTTACGACCGATAATGGCACGAATTTCGTTGGCGGAAACCGAGAATTGCGAGAAGCGCTAGAGTCTTGGAATAAGGTTAATTTCGAAAATTGGTTGCTTCAACGAAACATCTCGTGGAAATTTAATCCGCCTTACGCAAGCCACTACGGAGGCGTGTGGGAAAGGCTGATTCGAAGCGTTCGAAAAATTTTAACTTCTCTGCTACTCGAGCAACCTTCGAAGTTAACAGATGAGAGCCTGAATACTCTCTTCTGCGAAGTCGAGAGTATATTGAATAACAGACCCCTTACTCCGTTATCGGACGACCCGAATGACTGTGACGCTCTTACCCCAAACCACCTTCTGCTCCTGAACTCGACCCCATCGTTGCCTCCAGGCGTGTTCGAGCCGTCGGACATCTACCTTAAACGTCGCTGGCGTCAGACGCAATATCTCGCAGACGTTTTTTGGACTCGTTTTCGACGCGAATATTTGCCTTTGCTGCAGACAAGACAGAAGTGGAACAAGGAAGAAAGGGTTGTGAAGCCAGGAGACCTGGTTATCGTCTCAGACATAACTTTGCCACGAAATCAGTGGCCACTGGGCCGCGTCGAAAAACTCTCCCCGAGCGAAGATGGAAGAGTTCGAAGGGTCAAAATTCGTATATGTAAATTTAAAGACGGCTCAGTTACTCGATTAGGGACTTCAATTATTGAGCGACCCATTTCAAAGCTAGTACTGCTCATGCCAACTGATTGAGCTACCTTGTTTTATCAGTTAGTGCATTTTAACCCGTCTGATAAGATTCAGTTTTAGGAATAAAATTTCCTTTTCATTCATACTTCGATAAGCCGGTCTTTAAATTTGGGGCCGGTGTAAAGAATTTTACTGAACATACTTCTCCCGTGTACATAAGGTTGGGACCTTTTACGTAGGACCAGAGTTGATGAGCTCGGACAAAATTCATTTTGAACCAAACTTGCCCGAGATTGTTCAGCAATTTGGTATGTTATCATTTACTTATGTTATGATCCTTTTATTGCTTGTTACCTTGTTTTTTTTTTTGTTTATAATCTCGAATATAACCTAAATTTTGTATTCAGATTGTTCATTCTTTGTTTTCAGAAACCGTTACAATCCACAACGAGTTTTCATTCTGAACAATCCCCTGAACAAAGAGCCATATTCTTTACAAATACAAATCGGAAATATTCATGAGATGTAAATTCACGAAGTATATTAGACCAATCAGGAAGCATAAATGTGCCCGTTAATGAGCCTCCTAATAATTAGGTGGAGTCTGTCTATGATTCAATTTTGCGCAACTTCTCTGTTATAAACAGGAGAATATTGCAGAATTTAGTGCTTATGTGGCACTTTGATTAAAGCAATCATTGTCATTTCGCTGCCGAAATTCTTCGGCTGCACCATTAGCAACATATTAATCACAATCACTTCCCTCCTGTAATTCATGTATTGTAACACTGTCAACATGGCAATCATAGTCATTTCACTAACACTATTCAAGTACTACTGCATCACCATTGTCCATAAAATCACTACCACTTCATTGTTGCAAAACAGTTTATTTTACACCGACGAATAATTGCTCTGCCATTTGTCCGCTTGGGCGTCAATTATTCCTGGGGATGGATTCCATTTATCGCGGGTTTGCAAACGGCGCAGAACAGCGATCAGGTCAGAGACTTTTTGGCTCTGAACTGATGAGCGTCAACGGAAGAGTGTTGGTGGAGCGATTCTGGCATGGATTGCCAGTCGCCGTGAGCTGTTATTGCAATAACTAAAGAGAACTGAGACGTACATGACTAGTATACAGTGGTCTCTTATTTTGTCGATCATGTTGGGAAAATTGGATTAAGTTTCGTAGTATTAAACAGCTGACTTAAATCAGGTTTTTGGTTTCAAATGCATATTAGGAAATAAGAATACTGCAATTCCAAAACTTCGTTAAACTTGAAAACGTCATTTTTAGCTGTGGCAAAGTGTACGCGGACATGTTTCGAAAGAGCCTTCCTATTATTGTCATACCACGCATGCTGCATCGTTCTAGCCCAGTTAACATTCATTCATAAATACTGTATATGAAGTGGAATGACTGAAAGTCGATACTTGAAAACGTTAGCTTATGTGTGATTGTTAGCTTATGTGCCTAAAAAATTACCACTTATTATTATTTCAAACATAAAAATCACATAAACTCATATGAATATTTTAAAATCAATTTCTATGAAAAAAAACTACCCAAGTTGATAATTTTAAGCGAAATTGTAGAAAAAATTCATTTTTTGTTCACTTGCTTCGGTTAAATTGAATATCTTGAGGATTGAATGTTTTAATCGGGGAAGTTTCCGAAAACCGCCTGATGTAGATACTCTATCAACTGATATATGACGAATTTTATTAGTTGATTTATATACCGAAGAAGAATCGCCACTTCACTAACACAATTTTTGTACTGCACCACCATCGTCCAAAAAATCGCTACCACTTCACTGTTGCAAAACAGTTTATTTTAGCTATATATCTACGTATCTATATATATATTATGATTAGAAAAAGAATCATAGCAGAATTATCGGGGGTCATTTTACTCACATCCACGGCCAATGATCGGCCGCTGGTGCCGTCCACTCACCATTTTCCCAACCCCAGTGCAGGCCTACAAGCAATTAAGCCACCATGGGAGACTGCACTAGATATTGCGTCTAAGATGTACAGCAGAAGCAATACAGCGCTCTATATTACCATACAATATTGCATATAATACTGAGTGATATGATAGCGTGGCGTGCAAATAATAACGATCTGGCTATCTTAAACGTTAATGTACCCTACTTCAGACCTTGTAAGAATAATGTTCTGTGTAGCCACGTAACATTAAACTCACCACCAAGAAATAGCGAATTTACCATCCGATTTTTGCATAACAAAGAGAAAAAATATTTGCCTAACTCGAATAAATTTTATGATCTTGTGTGTGCACATAATAATTTCAGTGGAACGCAGTTATAGGATAAATTAATTAGTCGCCGTTCTGTATTAATTTGTATATCATGACAAACGCTGAATTCAACTTTTACTTGAAAGATCTGTAGTCGATTGAAGCTTAGTATTCAAAGTTCTATGAAATCATTTGGTCGGATCATACAATGAATCTTGATTACACTTTTGTTCCGAAGTAATATCGTCGTCACCATAATAATAAACATCATTAAACTCCTGCAATCAAACTACCCACCACAATAAAATTCCGTTGCTATTATTCAAAATAAAGTTAACAATTTCTCCAAAACTATTTTTTTTCGACTACGATCGCAATAATTGGACCGTTAACTCCGATTGTAGCCGGAAATTTCAGTTTTACGTTGTATAAATAAGTATGTAGAAAATATCGAAGTACTCGTAGAAGCCAATAATTGAAAAACTAATTGAAACATAAGTGAAGTCTAGTGATAAGAATATTTTACTTTTACAGTGCTGTCGCCAACGCTGCTGCCAGAAAAATTATTTTAACGTGAACATAGTGGAATATTTTGAATGCTAATTCCCTACCTAGGGAAAGCAAGAGCGGCTTGCGTACGAGCTTTCAATTTGGGAAGCTTTAAGCTAAAATCTGCTCTAGCTTCGAGTTATTATTAAGCTTTCAAAGTCATGCATGAATGGGTATAATATTCTTTTGAATTTTCGAAATCACTTTCAAATGATAGCTAGATAGCTAACATCAACTCTTGTTATTTTTCCGAAAATTATGCAAATTACGTTTATCATGTAAAAGAATCTTGAACACACATTTAAGAAACGACGAAACGTAAAAAACAGCTCCATTGACTGCGGTAATCAGTTTCAGCTGAAATAATTTAAATAATTGCAATTTTTTGGTATGGAAATAATTCCCAAAGAAGGATGATGAAACCAGATTACAGTTTTCATTCTTTAAAATAAATCCATTTTACATTATCACATCGAAGCAAATTAGTGGAGTGGAGGAAAAATATTCAAAAGAAAAGTTTTTACTGCGAAGAAGGTCGCGAACGTCGTTAACTTATAATTCGCAGAACGTTTATTAATATTCGTGTAGAAAATCTTACGGCCGGATCGTTCCGTTTTCTTCTTCTCTCTTGTGCTAGAATTTACGAGCCTTGACTGACAAGCTGGATTAACGTTGAAAAAATCTTGACTGCTTTTATGAAGAAATTACATCAGGAGTGAAGGAACAGCTGACACGGACAGTTCACGACTGATATCAACTTCATGATGGAGAAACAAATTTAGATAACGAGTGAAATCTTTAATCCATGCTGAAATATGTTGGTAAAGAATTTTAGGCTCCAAGACAGAACATTTAGTCAAATAATTTGAAAATCCACTCATTCATACACTCAACTCTTAGCGAATATAATGAAATTACTATAAAGTATTTTATTTTACCCTTCCAAAGCTCATCAGTAAGATAAAAAAAATCGTAATTTGTAATATAAATAATTTTGATGGAAGATGTTCAAAACTAAGGAGTTTTAAATTCTGTTTTATTATATAATATTGGTGTATTACCAAATTCTATTTTCTTATAATATATTATTATGATACCAATCTCTATTTTCT